AAACAATAAATGTCTGCTCCTGACCTCTGTCTCCCAGCAGAATCACCCCTTTCCTCTCTTCAGCCTGGGAAAGTACTAAAACACACACTTATTCCTCCCCAGCAGTATATCTGGAAGTTGAAGTCAAAAAACAAAACTATAATACAGGCTGAGTCTGTGTTTCAAACAACATTTTCCACAGTCCTTTGTTTTTCCTCAGAGTCTCTTGCAATCCATGACCCCCTGGGCACCCCTAGTGGATGGAGGGTAGAATTAACACCGGGTGTAATAGTTCTATAATGAGAGTCTCTGTTATGACTGTGTCTATGTAGAAGTCCTTTGTAAGCACACTCACAGAAGCAGCAGTAGATAAAATGAAACCACAGCTGGTCTTCTCCTGCCGGTTAAGTGCCGAGCCACACAAATGTGAAAAAAGGAAGGCAATCGTTGACATGCACAATATTTAGTAAATCTTTTTGGTAATAAAATCTACAAAACATACAACTGATAATCTAACCCAGCTGTTTCTCAGACAGCACAATTGCTTCTCCCTATAATATAAAAATAATACTTATCCTGTGTACTGAACATGTGCTACACATGATGCATGACAGGTAGATCATTTATAATCTGAAAGAATGTAATTGAGACATCAATAGCTATTGATTTTCTCATCTTCCTTGTGGACCTGGGGAGCCATTCTTGGATTACGTACAAAATGAGAGTAATTTTGCATTATTTATCTGCTTTCTTCAACCTACAGAATACAGCATTGTGAGCTTCTGTTCATTCTTTGTGATAGAATGAGTAGCTTCAGGGTTTCAGTAGAACATAACAATGACATACAGGTGAAGGAGGCACACCGCTGCTCTCCAACTTGCATCTTGTGGTTGTTTGACTTGACATTGTACCATTACAATGCCTTTGTTACAGATAGTTTTTCTGTGATTACATTTAAGAAGCATAACTAGGGAGAGTAAATAAAGCAAATACAGTTGCAAGAAAAAGTATGTGAACTCCTTGGGATTACGTGGAGTTTTGCATGAATTGGGCATAAAATGCTCTCTGAACGTCATCTAAGTCACAACAATAGAAGAACACATTCTGCTGAACATAATACTACACAAACATTAGATGTTGCCATGGTTTAATTACCATGTAAACATTCACAGTGCAGGGAGGAAAAAGTATGTGAACCTTTGGACTTAACAACTGGTTGACCCTCCATTGGCAGCAATAACCTCAACCAAACGTTTCCTGTAGTTGCAGATCAGACCTGCACAACGATCAGGAGTAATTTTGGACCACTCCTCTTCACAAAACTGTTTCAGTGTATTATTCTTGGGATGTCTGGTGTGAATCGCTCTCTTAAGGTCATGCCACAGCATTTCAGTCGGGTTGAGGTCAGGACTCTGACTGGGCCACTCCAGAAGGCATATTCTGTGCTGTTGCAGCCATTGTTTTTGTTGAATTACTTGTATGCTTTGGGTCATTGTCCTGTTGCATCACCCATCCTCTGCGGAGCTTCAGTTGGCGGACAGATGGTCGTATGTTTTCCTGCAAAATGTCTTGATAAACTCTGGAATTCATTTTCCCATCAATGACAACAATCCGTGTAGGCCCTGAGGCAGCAAAGCAGCCCCAAACCATGATGCTCCCTCCGCCATGTTTTACAGTGGGGATGAGGTTTTGATGTTGGTGTCAGGGCTCCCAGGTATGACCAGAGGTGTGTGACTGAAGCAGGGAAACGCAGACCTCAGATATGTTATAAACAATATAATTTATTAACACTAACAGTACAAACATAAACGCAGTGCAATACTAAAACATAATACGGTGCAACCAAACCAAACCACCCACAGATAACAGTATATACAAGCAAGCGTCGTCAGGCAGGCCGGGTCAATATCAATTGGGCAGGTAGGTACAGGGGGAGCAAGCGGAGAATGGTCGGGGTCACAGGCCAGGTTCAGCAGGTAGCAAGCAGCATAGTACAGAGGGTCAGGCAGAGGGATGGTCCGGGTCACAAGCCAGGGATCAGAACAGGTAGCAAGCAGCGTAGTACAGAGGGTCAGACAGAGGGATGGTCAGGGGTCACAAGCCAGGATCAGAGCAGGAGAAGTCAGCAAAGGAACAGAAACAGGATGCAGGACAGATACAGGGCCCAGGACAAACACAAACACCAAGGCAGAGTCTGCAAGTCTGGCCATCCCTTAAATACCCCAGTATCATCAGTTCCAGGTGTTAGCTGGCTGAAAGGTTGAGTCTCTGATTGCTGGGAGCACCCGCTGGCCAGCCCTGGTACTGCAGATCAAAAGGCAGGTGAGTCCCACCATTGCTGGCCAGTCCATTCCTAACAGTACCCCCCCCTCAAGGAGCGGCCTCAGGACGCTCCAAACAGTCCTAGCTGGGCAAAATGTTTCCACCGCCCAGGTCTGGCAACTGGCGGGATATCAAAGACTGGCACACCGGGCAGGACTCCGGGCAGCGGCACACCGGGCTGGACTCCGGGCAGCGGCACACCGGGCAGAGGCACACCGGGCAGAGGCACATCGGGCAGAGGCACATCGGGCAGAGGCACATCGGGCAGGACTCCGGGCAGAGGCACATCGGGCAGGACTCCGGGCAGAGGCACATCGGGCAGGACTCCGGGCAGAGGCACATCGGGCAGGACTCCGGGCAGAGGCACATCGGGCAGGACTCCGGGCAGAGGCACATCGGATTACCAGGCAGGCGGAGCAGCAGGCATCGGGCCCACGGGCGGATCAGCAGGCACCAGGGCCCCCGGGCGGGGCTACAGGCACCGGGCCCCCGGGCGGAGCAGCAGGCACCGGGCCCCCCGGGCGGAGCAGCAGGCACCGGGCCCCGGGCGGGGCGACAGGCACCGGGCCCCCGGGCGGGGCGACAGGCACCGGGCCCCCGGGCGGGGCGACAGGCACCGGGCCCCCCGGGCGGGGCGACAGGCACCGGCCCCCAGGCGGGGCGACAGGCACCGGGCCCCCAGGCGGGGGCGACAGGCACCGGGCCCCCAGGCGGGGCGACAGGCACCGTGCCCCCAAGCAGGGCGACAGGCATCGGGCCCCCAGGAGGGGCGACAGGCATCGGGCCCCCAGGAGGGGCGACGGGCATCGGGCCCCCAGGCGGGGCGACGGGCATCGTGCCCCCAGGCGGGTGGCGACAGGCATCGTGCCCCCAGGCGGAGCGGGGGTGCCGGACCTCCAGATGGAGCGACAGGTCTCGGGCCCTCAGGCGGAGCGGCGGGCGCCGGACCCCCAGGAGGAGGGACAGGTCTCAGGCCCTCAGGCGGAGCGGCGGGCGCCGGACCCCAGGTGGAGCGCGACAGGTCTCGGGCCCTCAGGCGGAGCGACAGGCGCCGGACCCCCAGGCGGAGCGACAGGGTCTCGGGCCCTCAGGCGGAGCGGCGGGCGCCGGACCCCCCAGGAGGAGCGACAGGTCTCGGGCCTCAGGCGGAGCGGCGGGCGCCGGACCCCCAGGAGGAGCAACAGGTCTCGGGCCCTCAGGCGGAGCGGCGGGCGCCGGACCCCCAGATGGAGCGACAGGGTCTCGGGCCCTCAGGCGGAGCGGCGGGCGCCGGACCCCCAGGCGGAGCGACAGGTCTCGGGCCCTCAGGCGGAGCGGCAGGCGCCGGACCCCCAGGCGGAGCGACAGGTCTCGGGCCCTCAGGCGGAGCGGCGGGCGCCGGACCCCCAGGCGGAGCGACAGGTCTCGGGCCCTCAGGCGGAGCGGGGGCGCCGGACCCCCAGGAGGAGCGACAGGTCTCGGGCCCTCAGGCGGAGCGGCGGGCGCCGGACCCCCAGGTGGAGCGACAGGTCTCGGGCCCTCAGGCGGAGCGACAGGCGCCGGACCCCCAGGCGGAGCGACAGGTCTCGGGCCCTCAGGCGGAAGCGGCGGGCGCCGGACCCCCAGGAGGAGCGACAGGTCTCGGGCCCTCAGGCGGAGCGGCGGGGCGCCGGACCCCCAGATGGAGCGACAGGTCTCGGGCCCTCAGGCGGAGAGCGGCGGGCGCCGGACCCCCAGGTGGAGCGACAGGTCTCGGGCCCTCAGGCGGAGCGGCAGGGCGCCGCCGGACCCCCAGGCGGAGCGACAGGTCTCGGGCCCTCAGGCGGAGCGGAGCGGGCGCCGGACCCCCAGGCGGAGCGACAGGTCTCGGGCCCTTAGGCGGAGCGGCGGGCGCCGGACCCCCAGGAGGAGCGACAGGTCTCGGGCCCTCAGGCGGAGCGGCGGGCGCCGGACCCCCAGATGGAGCGACAGGTCTCGGGCCCTCAGGCGGAGCGGCGGGCGCCGGACCCCCAGGTGGAGCGCGACAGGTCTCGGGCCCTCAGGCGGAGCGGCGGGCGCCGGACCCCCAGGAGGAGCGACAGGTCTCGGGCCCTCAAGCGGAGTGGCAGGTGCCGGACCCCCAGGCGGAGCGACAGGTCTCGGGCCCTCAGGCGGAGTGACAGAGTGACAGGTCTCAGGCCCCCAGGCGGGGCGGCGGGCGCCGAATCCCCAGGCGGAGCGGCGGCGGCGCTGGACCCCCAAGCGAAGCAACAGGTCTCGGGCCCCCAGGCGGAGCGGCGGGCACCGAGACACCAGGCACGACAGTGGGCTCCGAGTCAACTGGTATGACCGCAGGCACTGGGTCAGACATTGGATGGTCTGGCTGGACAGCGGGCATCGGGTCACCAGGGCATCAGGTCATTTGGCTCGACAGCGGGCACCGCGTCATCTGGCAAGGCAGTGGGCTCCGAGTCAACTGGTATGACCCGCGGGCACTGGGTCAGACATTGGATCGTCTGGCTGGACAGCGGGCATCGGGTCACCAGGCATCAGGTCATTTGGCTCGACCGCGGGCACCGCGTCATCTGGCAAGGCAGTGGCCTCCGAGTCAACTGGTATGACCGCGGGCACTGGGTCAGACATTGGATCGTCTGACTGGACAGCGGGCATCGGGTCACCAGGCATCAGGTCATTTGGCTCGACAGCGGGCACCGCGTCATCTGGCAAGGCAGTGGTCTCGAGTCAACAGGCACGACAGTGGGCACCGGGTCATCAGGTACCGGATTGTCTGGCTCGACAGCGGGCATCGGGTCATCAGGTATGACAGCGGACACTAGGTCACCAGGCATCAGGTCATTTGGCTTGCCAGCGGGCACCGCGTCATCTGGCAAGGCAGTGGGCACCGAGTCACCAGGTACGACAGCGGGCTCTGAGTCAATTGGCACGACAGCGGGCACCGGATCAGGTACCGGATCATCTGGATCAACAGCGGGCATCGAGTCAACTGGCCTAATAGGATCGTCAGGCTGGATCAGTTCATCATGCTGGGTAGAGGCATTAGGCCGAGTAGAGGCTTCAGGCCGAGTAGAGGCATCAGGCCGAGTAGAGGCATCAGGCCGAGTAGAGGCATCAGGCCGAGTAGAGGCATCAGGCTGAAGAGAGGCATCAGGCCGAGTACAGGCATCAGGCCGAGTAGAGGCTTCAGGCCGCGTAGAGGCTTCAGGCTGAGGAGAGGCTTCAGGCCGCGTAGAGGCATCAGGCCGAGTACAGGCATCAGGCCGAGTACAGGCATCAGGCGAGTACAGGCATCAGGCCGAGTAGAGGCATCAGGCTGCGTACAGGCATCAGTCTGAACCACGGAAGGCAGGCTCACCGGTTTGGATACTGGCAGGATGGTATTGGTTGGAAAGAATTTTCGCTTTTTTCTGGTTTTAACTACTGGAGCACTGCAAGTAAACGCAGGTCTGCAAACGAATGGAGCAGCTGGAGACAGAGAAGAACTGGAGGATGGAACAGGAGAGGGAGCAGTTGCTACAGAGGGCTTTTTTACAGGGTTAAAGGCAGGATAGGTGCAGCGCGTGGGAACAGGGTACTGACATGCGGTAGATAGCCAAGTATACTGGGCTGTAACTGGAGGAGCTGGTGGGAATACAGGAGTAGAGTTAGAAGCAGGACTGGGTCTTTGTAAGCTGACTGAGGCTGGGTGCAACAAATCTGTCCATGTCTGCAGTAGGGGTTGAACAAAGCTGAGCTTACACAAAGTCTGTCTGGTCAATGACTGCACTGCGTTTATACAATCTCTCAGTGTCTGTGGTGAACATGTGGAATAACGCTCCAGAAAAGTAACCCACATCATCCTCTAATAACCATACCAGGACTCTACCTGGTCTGCACTAAATGGTGGCAAAAATTCATCCCTGCATTCGGGGGGGGGGGAACCAGATGAAACCAACTCTGCACAAACCTCAATCAAAGGCTGCACCTCAGAGAACTCTGTGCCCTGATCTACTAGAACATGAGCGAGCCGTATACATTCTAGCAGTTCATCCCGGGTATACTCCTTCAGAGTTTGATAAGCATACTCCCTGTCATCAAACACTAGCAGATATAAATACTCAACCTCCTCAAGATCCATCCTTCCCATCAACAAGCCAAGATGGCTTCCCTGTGCAGCCACTTGGTCTGGTCAGGATTGGCCTTGGTGTAATGTCAGGGCTCCCAGGTATGACCAGAGGTGTGTGACTGAAGCAGGGAAACGCAGACCTCAGATATGTTATAAACAATATAATTTATTAACACTAACAGTACAAACATAAACGCAGTGCAATACTAAAACATAATACGGTGCAACCAAACCAAACCACCCACAGATAACAGTATATTACAAGCAAGCGTCGTCAGGCAGGCCGGGTCAATATCAATTGGGCAGGTAGGTACAGGGGGAGCAAGCGGAGAATGGTCGGGGTCACAGGCCAGGTTCAGCAGGTAGCAAGCAGCATAGTACAGAGGGTCAGGCAGAGGGATGGTCCGGGTCACAAGCCAGGGATCAGAACAGGTAGCAAGCAGCGTAGTACAGAGGGTCAGACAGAGGGATGGTCAGGGTCACAAGCCAGGATCAGAGCAGGAGAAGTCAGCAAAGGAACAGAAACAGGATGCAGGACAGATACAGGGCCCAGGACAAACACAACACCAAGGCAGAGTCTGCAAGTCTGGCCATCCCTTAAATACCCCAGTATCATCAGTTCCAGGTGTTAGCTGGCTGAAAGGTTGAGTCTCTGATTGCTGGGAGCACCCGCTGGCCAGCCCTGGTACTGCAGATCAAAAGGCAGGTGAGTCCCACCATTGCTGGCCAGTCCATTCCTAACAGTTGGTGTGCTGTGTCTTTTTTTCTCCACACATTAGTGTTGTGTGTTCTTCCCAAACAACTCAATCTTGGTTTCATCTGTCCACAGTATATTTTGCCAGTAGTGCTGTGGAACATCCAGGTGCTCTTTTGCAAACTTCAAACGTGCTGCAATATTCTTTTTGGACAGCAATGTCTTCCTCCAATGTCTTCCTCCGTGGTGTCCTCCCATGTACTCCATTATTGTTTAATGTTTTCCTTATTGTAGATGTGTCAACAAAAATGTTAGCATGTGCCAGAGATTTCTGTAGGTCTTTAGCTGACACTCTGGGATTCTTCTTTACCTCATGCAGCATTCTGCGCTGTGCTCTTGCAGTCATTTTTACAGGACGACCACGCCTAGGGAGAGTAGCAACAGTGCTAAAATTTCTCCATTTGTAGACAGTCTGTCTTACCATGGACACATGAACATCAAGGCTTTTGGAGATACTTTTGTAAACCCTTTCCAGCTTCATGCAAGTCAACATTCTTGATCGTAGGTCTTCTGAGAGCTCTTTTCTGCGAGGCATGGTTCACATCAGACAGTGCTTCTTGAAACCAGTAAACCCAAAACAGTGTGTGTGTTTTTTTAAGGGCAGGACAGCTGTCAGCAACACATCCAATATCATCACACTGATTGGAGTCAAGGTTGGCTCACTCCTGGCTCCAATTAGCTCTGGGAGAAGTCATTAAGCTAGGGCCTCACATACCTTTTCCTCCCTGCACTGTGAATGTTTACATGTTATGTGCAATTAAACCATGGCAACATCTAATGTTTGTGTAGTATTATGTTCAGCAAACTGTGTTCTTCTATTGTTGTGACTTAGATGACGTTCAGAGCACATTTTATGCCCAATTCATGCAAACTGCATGTAATCCCAAGGGGTTCACATACTTTTTCTTGCAGCTGTAGCTAGTTTCATAATAGCAACATTAAACCACATTATTAATAAAGGGACAGTCCCCCAAAAGCAATATTTCGACTATAAGAACTGGATGATAACCATTGGAATCCCATGACATCATAGACCATATAACAATGGTTGTTTATAAAAGCAATCATCTATCAAACATGCCATATGGTTGGAGTGAAGGAACAGATGAGTGTCAGCAAGATTTTTTGGGGAATAGGGATACTATGTATGTACGAGAGGTCTTCAAAACGTTCCCGCACCTTTATATTTTCGTTGACAATGGTGAGGGCAGGAGGAGTAGTAATTGGTCGTGTTTGAGAGTGTCATGTGACTAGTCTGTCTGGCAAGCCAGCTGATCTTGCAGAGTAGTCTCATTGCAGTGAAGATGGCTGAGAAAGAGCAGAAACTTTTTGAAGAACCCTTGTATGTTTTATTTTTCAAATATTATCCTTTGTCCTGAGGTTTATATGTGTCTGTGCGAGGCTGTCAATTTTGGCACAGTAAATAAGTATTTTGTTTTTTACAAGGTCACAGTGGCTAGATGGTTGGCGCTTCCACCTGGTAGCACTACATTCATGGCGCTACCTGCTTGGAGTATGTATGTTCTCCCTGTGCCTGCATGGGTTTTCTGCAGGTACTCCAGTTTCCTCACACACACGTCAAAGAAATGCTGGTAGGTTAATTGGCTCCTGTCTAAATTGGCCCTACTATGTGTATGTATGAATGTGAGTCAGGGGCCTTATAGGCTCCTTGAGGGTTAGGGAGTGATGTGAATGTACAATATATATGTAAAGTGCTGCGTAAATTGATGGCGCTATGTAAGTACCTGTAATAAATAATAAATAAACAACTAATCTGCAAAGTAATCAGCACATGGGATTTCAATTTCTATTTATTTCAATTCTATTTATGGAGGTTTTTGTATGTTGTGCTCCCTTTATAAAGATGGAACAGGAGAGTAATTTTTATACAAGACTGATGATTAATTCCTGTGGTGCAGATTACTTTGTTAAAATGATGAATGTGAGGACCTTACATTTCCTACCAAGACTTTGATTTTTTGAACATGGCAGTTCATAAAATTGGTATGCACTCTCTTCTCTGGTGGGTCCTTATTCAGGTATTTTGTGGTATATTGTGATAGCACCAGGGGCGGACTGACCATTTTGGGCACTGCCCGAGGGCCCGGGGTCAGTAGGGGGCCCCATGAGATGCCCCTGGTACCTTTTTCATAGGCTTTTTTGAGTTTGGGTAAGGACACAGAGGCCCCATGATCCCCTATTGCCCGGGGACCCCATAAGTTGTCAGTCCACCCCTGGATAGCACTATATATCCCTGTCCCCTAGTTGTGCTCCTTCACTGTTAACCTGTGTCACACAGGCTTATGATGAAGACTACAAGTGGCCATTTCAACACCTATTACACAGGCAAGATCCAGTGTTTTTATTATTAACACCTTGATGCCGGCACCTCCCAGTCCTTTAAGGGTTTCAGAAGCTGGGAGGCGGGGCAGGCTTAGGATCATGTGACCGCCGTGACATGCCATCACGGTGGTCACATGATCGGGAAAGGTCCCAATCAAAAGAGGAGATCGGGACCTTTCGTCCGTGAGTACCGGACATGCGTGCTGGGGAGCGCGCAGGGCACACACTCTCAGCACATTTTTTTTTAAATACAACACAAATGTGTGACCGCTCAGCGTCTAGGCCCAGACACCGGGAGACCGCACATTTGCGTTCGGCCGGTGCCAAGAGGTTAAGAAACCTGCTCTGAGCAATGCCATGCAGCCATCACTGGTGTACATTCATGCAGGCATGACATGGCTATAAAAGGGCTGCAGGAGATCATCAGCACTGAGATCCCAAATGAAATTTACATCTTTTTTTCCCCACAAATAGAACTTTCTTTCAATGGTATTTGATCGCCTGTGCGTTTTTATTTTTTGTGCTATAAATAAAAAAAGACTGACAATTTTGAGAGAAAAAACAATATTTTTTGACTTATTGCTATAAAACATACCCTGTAAAAAAAATAAAAAATAAAATGTCATCATAAATTTAGGCTAAAATGTATTCTGCTACATGTCTTTGCTAAAAACAAAAATTCCAATACGAGTAAATTAATTGGTTAACGTGAAAGCTATAGTGTTTACAAATGACGGTATATACAGAATACTGGATTTTTTTTTTCTTTATTAGTAATGGCAGCAATCAGCAACTTATAGAGGGATATCAGGAGTGCAGTGGGCATTCTGACACTGGGGGGAACTAACGTGGTGTTACTGACATCCCCAGTGACACCAATACAGTGATCAATGCACTGACACTAATGGCACTGGGCAGTAAGAGGTTAACATCTGGGGCGATCAAAGAGTTAACTGTGTGCTGTTTCACTATTCGTGCTGTGTGTGTGGTTCACTGCAAGCACACTGCTTTGTATGGCTCTGCTATGCAGAGCCATACAAAGCACTGTGCTGGGGCTGACAGGGGAGAGATTTGTATTGTTTACATACAGGTCTTTTCCCCGTCTGAGATTATTATTATTATTATACAGGATTTATATAGCGCCAACAGTTTGGAATGTGAGGGAGATACTCATTGATCACCGGGTGCCGGCAAGTTATCACCGGCCGGGACCCGGTGGTTGACAGCCGAGGCCGCGATTGGTGCCCTGTGCACGCCCCCTGCCTGGAAACTGCAAAATCACATATATATATATACGTGATTTTGCACACCAGTCCCGCCCTGTAGCAGTATTTCTGCTATAGGGCGGCGTGGAACTGGTTAAAGTGATTGTAAACCTTGATTTTTATATTTTTAAAAATGTTATACTTACCTGCTCTGTGCAATGGTTTTGCACAGAGCAGCCCTGATTCTCTTCCGCTGGGGGAAAGCTCCTCCTCTTCAGCAAGTGACCCCTAGGCAATCGTGCGGTCTCGATCCTGAGCCGCCCTGTCTACACAGACAGCGTGACTCGGCCTCGCCCCCACGCTCCTTCTTTACAGGATTTGATTGACAGCTGCAGGAGCCAATGGCTCCCACTGCTATTAATATGCCCTGTGAGCAGGGAGAGAGCTGCTCTTGGCGCTGCATTGAAATCAGGCTCAGGTAATTATAAGGAGGGGGGTTGTGGCTGGGGGGATAATTTAAAATAGGTTTTTAATTTAATGCACAGAATGCATTAAGGTAGAATACCTTGAGACTTTAGAACCACTTTACTTATTATAATTTGTTATAAAGCACTTGTTCTTTTATTTGTAAGAGCCCTCTGCACACCATACCATACTTTGTGTGCTGTGCTGTCTTTCATTGTGAATGGCACCTCAATGTAAATAAAAGTTGCTTGTGCTCCAAAGAAGCCCAAATGCAGCCTGCCCCAGATTGTCGTGTGTTGGCGTGAGTTTCATTCAGCGTGAGTTTTCATTTTGAAAGGGCTGTTTAATGCAGCACGTTGCAACATGCATCAATGCACGGCAGTGGATGGTGTGAATTTGCACTCTCTCTATTTTAAACTGTGCATATACAATTTAATTAGAAAAAAATGGACTGTGTTATGTCTGTGCATTTTTATGGCATTTATGAAAAAAAAAAAACATTGCTAGTTCCATCAAAGCCTTTCTTTGTCTGTTCTAATTAGCTATCTCTTGTGTGTACTATCCTAAAGCGATTTCACATCTCTTAATATTCTAGATCATTATGTCAAAATAATCTGCACATACTTCTTCACATTTCTGCCACTATCTATAAAAAAATCATCGCCAATTAGCCATAAGTGATGATCAATTAGAATCTGCAAGACAGGAAGGGGATGTCACAACACACCGCTGTTATCGAGATTTGTGGAGTTTATATGAATTAATTACTAATTAGTGTGTTATGTCCAATCATTTACTTAATATTAAAATAATGTCTTGTATAACAAGCATGCTCGGTGGAGCAGATTTATAACATGTGAAAGAAGCATAAAGTGCTGTGAATGGTAGCTGCATGCCTCCATGTGTGTAGTAAAATGTGAGTATGACATTTATCACATGACTTTTGGTTAAACATTTGCAATTAAATCTTCTTTCTTTTAAATTAACTGTTGTAATATAAAGAATGGGGTACTTGCTTTGAGATCATAGGAGAATTCATTTAGCTGCTCTCTTCTGCTTCTATATGACCATTGCAAGCTTTTCTTTTTACACTTCTTTTCAGTATTGGCGGGGGTGGTTTTCAGAGCACAGCCCTCATCACCAAGAACAAGTGCAAAATCTGCAGCTCTTTTTACCTTCATTATGAAAGCATTTATTTAAGCATTCCCTAACAGAGGTCTATGTAAAAAAATCATTTGTTTTTGGACAAACATCTGGACATTAAAACAAAAATTGTTGTATTTGCTCTTATATATGTGTAGAATTTTCTGAGACACATATAATAATTCTTTAGTGTCTATAGGCATTTTCGGGTTAATTAAAGAGCTGGCAAAGTAAAAATAAAGTGTGATTTTATTTTTATCACACAATGGCTTAAAATAACAATGTAAAATGTATCATGAATAACAGTTCAGTGTAGGCAAAACACAAATATAAAAAAAAAAGAAGTTATAAAGATGCATCAACCTTATTGTCATGGCTGTCCTGCCATGTGCTTCTTGTCTGTTCAATGCAGCATGAGTCTGAGCAAGGAGAAGGAAGTGACGTGATCTTGGGTCTCTAACCCTAAGTTCACATATGTGTGGATGGTGCCGCTGCGGATCCGCATGAAAATCCATGCAGCTGCACTACCCGCACAGAGAAATGCAGACCCGCTGGCGGGTGCCATTAATTCTAATGGCACGCCGCCCGCACTGGAAAACGCAACTGGGAACTGAGGTTCCCGTGCAGCGTTTTCCAAAAAGTGCAGGGACTTCTTCCCTGCGTGTCACGGGCACGGGAGTCCATTCAAATGAATGGGCTCTCGTGCCTGTGCAAAACGTGACCCGCACGGCCGCATAGATGTGAACCGGGAGTTAGAGAATGCACCTGTTTAGCTTGTCAGTCTGTGAATAACCATAGTGTCTTCATGCCATGCTTGTGTGTGTGTGAATGGGTGGATGGATGTGTTGTGTCCTTCGCATCTCTTAGGATGTATTTTTTTTCTTACATGCAGTGGCGGACTGACCATTTGGAAACTCGGGCACTGCCCGAGGGCCTGGGGTCAGTAAGGGGCCCCATGAGATGCCCCTGGTACCTTTTTCATAGTCTTTTTTGAGTTTGGGCAAGGACACAGGGGCCCCATGATCCCCTATTGCCCGGGGGCCCCATGAGTTGTCAGTCCGCCCCTGCTTACATGTAGACATCATAATTCTCATAGCTCAGAACCTTGTATGGCAAACCATTCTGCTTAGTAAAGCGATTTCATTGAAGGGAGGGGATACTACATATATGGTCTTTTGATTGACAAGCCCATATGTAGTGGCTTCATAAGTTGACAATGTTGCATCAGCCTACCCATGCGACCAGTTTTCTCTGTTTAAAGGATAGTATAACTAAGAATCTATCTTTACAACATAATTTCTCAATAATGTTGTATAACCAAAAAATTTACTTATGTAACACATATTACCAGCTTATAAAACATAAATTAAATACACACAGATACTATTAGAATATATTATTTCATACGAATTCTATTTTGGTTTATTTCTGACTCCCATGACATCCTACACCAGAGATCTTTTAACCAGCTTTGCCCATCTATAGAAATGTCCTAAATACTCAGCTTCCAGCTAGTTAACCTAACTCCAGGTACTCTGACACTTTTCTGGCTCAGCTATAACTGAAGAATTCAACACTATCACTTGTTCAAGGCCAACCACACATTTTAATATTTTGCAAGTTTGCCATAAATATAATTCCTATAAGTGCCGAATTATGAATTTGGAATTAATGTTTAACAATATGTAGTTGCTATATCATCACCGCCACTTAGTGGCCACAAGACCTTTTTTTCCACAAGTGTCTCATTAGGAATAAATGCTTTATGGCCACTAGGTGGTACGTTTTTTACACATAGACCCTTTAAAGCAAGGGTAGGAAGACTTTGACAGGTGTGTATGTATACACCCAAGCCATGGTATGTCATACTCCATGTTCAAAATATCACCAATGTGAATCCGTTACTGCCGCTGTTCATCAACCACCTATACTAGGTATTGAAATCTAATTTTTCATACACAGCGCTGTCACCACTTTTTTTTTTTTTATGCGAGAATGCAGTTAACAAATAGCGACAGCATTTGGCCAGAACAAAATTGAGTGTTTTGGCGCACTCCAATGGGTTAGAGTGGTCGCTGCAAAGTGGGGATCAATAAAGTGGGGGTACCTGATGAACAGGAAAGAAAATGCAGGCGTACCTCGGTTTTTGAACACCTCGGTTTATGAACACTTATGAACACCTCGGTTAATGTAATTTTCGGTTTACGAATGAAAATTGATTGAAAATAATGGCTCGGTTTACACATTTTTTTTGCAAAACAAATGGATTAATTGGTTTTTAATGCATTTACAATTTTTTTTTTAATCATGTCCCTGTACAGTACTATTATTATTATTATACAGTATTTATAAAGCGCCAAGAGTTCGCTCAGCACTGTACATTACAGTACTATGCATTTAAAGTGCACTTTTATAAAGAGTTTTGAACAGATAAGATTTTTTTTTACTTTTTTTCTGACCTCCTGGAACAGATTAATTGGTTTTCAATGCATTTACAATTTTTTTTTTAATCATGTCCCTTTATGTCTTTAGAGTGCACTTTATAAAGAGTGCTGAACAGATAAAACTTTTTTCTGACCTCTGGAATGGATTAATTGGTTTTGAATGCATTTACAAATTAATTTTTAATCATGTCCCTGTACAGTATTTATGCCTTTAAAGTGCACTTTATAAAGAGTTTTGAACAGATAAAATACTTTTTTTTTACTTTTTTATGACCTCCGGAACAGATTAATTGGTTTTCAATGCATTCCTATAATAAACCGCTTTTCAGTTTACAAATTTTTCGCAATACGAAAAGTCCCGCAGAATGCATTAAATTCGTAAACTGAGGTACGCCTGTATACTATAATACACTAAGTTGGTCCGTATGTAATTTTTAGTCCATATGATATGAGTCCATATGAAGTTGCAAGTCCTTGGGGGGTGAGCTTTAACTTAGAGGCTGCCAACTTGCATCTAGCTAGAAGCGACTCTGTAGAGAGATGAAGAAAAAGAGGGGAGGCGCCATCTAAGTGCAGCAAGTAAGAACATTTATTTGCATTAAAAGATAATAGGCAACTCACAAAATGGAAAAAGCACTTTATGTTTTTCCATCTTGTGAGTTGCCTACAGGGGTGGACTGACCATTTGGAAACTCGGGCACTGCACGAGGGCCCGGGGTCAGTAGGGGGTCCCATGAGATGCCCCTGGTACCTTTTTCATAGGCTTTTTTGAGCTTGGGCAAGGACACAGGGGCCCCATGATCCCCTATTGCCCGGGGGCCCCATGAGTTGTCAGTCCGCCCCTGGTTGCCTAATATCTTTTAATGCAAATAAATGTTCTTACTTGCTGCACTTGGCACCACCCCTCTTTTTCCACAACATTTGGCCAGTAGAACAATACAAAATTGAAAGCATTCAGTTTGTTAGTATAGTTTGAGAACCAGGTATCAGTGCTGGGTCAAAGGATGGACATTAAGAGCTGTCACCGCTTTTAACAATACCATCCTCCACTGACTAATAAATCATCCAATCCTCTTCTTAGAAATAACCAATCTCATTCATAACAAAAAGTGCTCAAAAGTAATTATTATACAGTTATTCCAATGCAAAATGCTCTTGCCAAAACAGTTCATAGGTGCTGTGTGATATTACATGCAGTCTTGCTCTGTGCTTCATGCAAAAAAATGTGTGCTTTTCCCTACACTCACCAAAAAGCAATTGACCCTATGCTCTGCAGTAACGCGCTTGTGGATTTCACCCTCCTGGGTAGTAATTTGTGATGGTTACTAGGTGTCTCTCTTTCTCCTCTCCTCCAGCTACAACAGTGGAATCGACCCTCCTAGAAACTTTATGCCTCTCAAATAGACAATAGGGGAACACAGGGGAGAACCAGCATAGTGTAGTATCTTTTTGTCAGGGCTGGGCTCCTGCTACTTAACGAGCAGCTCTTTTCTTTCAGTACTCAGAAGCTGCTCATTTGTCAGTTAATTACCAGCCACTAGTTGTCTCCACAGTGACTCGTCTGGATACCATTATCTGCCTCATTAGTCCAGCCTACAGCCAGCCTTTTTTGCTATTTTAGCAGCTTAGCTCATGACTCCCTTCAGGACTCATCAAACTTGTTCCAATAGCTCCTTTGACAATTCCAGCTAGGCAGACACAATTGCTCAGCTTTGGCAATGAAGAACTGGCAAAATTGTAAAATCAGACCTCTTTGCCCACATTAAAGAAGGCCGCAGAACGCCGCACCAGAAGTGACGTCACACGTACAGGCCCGGAACCAGAAGTTGCATCAACGCGTTTTGCCCTCCCACAAGGCATCGTCACAGACCCTGTACGTGTGGCGTCACTTCTGGTGCGGCGTTCTGTGGCCATCTTTAGTGTGGGCAAAGAGGTCTGATTTTACAATTTTTCCAGTTCTTCATTGCCAAAGCTGAGCAATTGTGTCTGCCTAGCTGGAATTGTCAGAGGAGCTATTGGAACAAGTTTAATGAGTCCTGATTTATATACAAAAAGGCTTTTTATTCAGTTTGAAAATGTGAGTGCATTTGGAGCATCACTTGAGAATTAAACAGTTTTTAACACTATTACGCTATTTTGGTATTTTTTCTTTTTCATTTTTCTCATCCATCCATCCATGAGAATGCATTTGGGGTGAATTAAGGAGGAATCATGAGTGAAGGCTTGAGAGTAACTAGAGCTGGTCATAAAATACCCCTATCCATCCATCCGTCCATCCAGGAGTGAGAGCTTGGAGGAAGATAAGGGTGGATTACCATCTGTGATGTGGGAGATCAAATTACCCTATGGAAATTGGACCTTAATTACTTTATCTGAGTGTGAGGAAGGTGTTTTTTACATTTTTTATAAAATATATTTTTTATCGGTATATAGCAATATATCATTGGTGTCTTTTTATGTTATGTTTTTCACTATATGAGGAAATATCTGGGAAGGAGAGTCAGTGTAAAATCGTATAAAGAGTTATATCATCTCTGAGGACACCACACCACACCTGCAGGCTTGCCTTTTTTGCATCTTAAAGTCATACCAGTTTGGGAATTCACAGCATTTGGTGAGTGTGGATCTATAAAGTTCTTTTCACAGATGTGAGCAAGCTGAAAAATGTATGAAGTTTGAGTAAATAATAATTTTTTCACATTTTTTGGGACATTGGACTTTAATTTGGGACTTTTTCTTTGGACTTTCACATATAATTTTTCACAGTTTTGATTATTTGTTTTATTTGTGCTGTATTATTTTTATTATTATTTTTTGATGCTTAGTCAATCCGTAAACAGCAGCATTTAATTTTTCACTTAATTTTTCGCTTATTTCCTTGGCGCAAGTTTGATACATATTAAACATATTAATCTTGCCTTGTACCTTGTTTTTCATGATCCTTGAGCTCTTTGTTCCTTCCCTGAACTTACTGTTTAAGCCTTTGCATGTCTTGTTTGCAATCATGAGAGGACCACAACCTTGTACTAACATGCAGCAAAACCCATCTCCACCATCAGGAGCTCTGGTGAATATTGGTTAGTTCTTAGACCCCATACCTTGGGTGAACCCTCATCATCTGACAGGGTGGCCTGTTTGTATACCTATCCTGCTGGTCGGTGAGAGCCTCTCTACTGCTATAGCTACTGTCCTTATGAGCCTGACTCCAGACAGTGACAGAATAACCTGGCCAATACATGGATGCTGTTTGTAGCAGCTGCTGTGGCTCCTCTCATGCAGCAAAGTGTTTATTGCAAGCTACCAGGAAAGGTTTTCTGAATTACAAATTGAAGTGAAAGGACTACAAGAGCACATCTTTGATCTGCATTGACAATGGCGGGACTTACATTCTCGAGATGCTGCTGCTGTAGATACTAATGCGTGTATGTCATCACTCAAGTTCAACGGAGACTTTCAACATTACAGATATTTCCTTAATAATTGCCATATATACTCTACTTTCAGATGCAACCTGCTACATTTACTTCTGACAGGAAAAAGTTGCTGTGTATTATCATCCTCCTGATTGCACAATTTACAGTAGGGTAGATGGTCTGTTTCAGAGCACACAACTGTATCAAGTACCTGGGGATGGAAGCCAATGGAGAGAGGGCTTCCCTTGCGGCTAAGTTCCGGACTCCCCTGAAGTGGGACAGCGGGAGTCTGGCCCAAAGTTGCACAGGTCACCTATAGGACTGCTGGTTGGTGGTCCACTCAGAAGCACAGCTGGTGCACGGAGATAGGTCTGCAGACAGGAGGCGCCTGTGTGTGGTATGCAAGCCCTTCCAGGATTTGGATGTTTACTGGGTAGTCGGTTCAAGCCAAGGTCAGGTACCAGGTGGGAATCAGAGCGGACGTAGTCAGATGGAATAGCCGAAGTCATTCACAGAGGAGCGAGAGAGAGAGAGAGTATCCGTAAGCCAAGCCAAGGTCAGATCAGGGGAAAATCAGAGTAGAGAGGTCCAGGAGCAAGCCGAGTCAGTAACAGGAAATCACAAGTCAGAATCACAAGAAACAGGAACCAGGAACAGGGCACGGGGAGCTAGAGATCATCCAGCAACCAGAGGAAGTGATGAGCCTCCTTATAAAGGCCGTCTGACACCAGACTGAGGCTGATGTGTAGTTCTGCGGCCATGTAGAATATTGGCAGAAACGCCAGATCTTCCAGAACTCCTGCCATGGACAGGACCCAGACAAACTGACTTCCGATGTTAGATTGTAGATACCATTTGGAATCCAGACACGCCAAAGAGTCAGATCCATCAAGGACTCTCTGAACAAGTAAAAGATAAGCTTGCCAGAGTACAAACTCCTGACAATCTTGAGGCTTTTATTAAATGATGTATTGAAATTGATCAGAGAGTTATAGAAAGGAGAAAGGAGAGAAAGGGGATTCTTCCAGATTCCGACACTCCAATACCTATGCAGGTGGATGCTATTAAAAGATCTGTTTCTACTCAGGAGAAAGAAAGACAACATGCAGAGAATGTCTTTATTGTGGAGAATCTGAAAATTACGCAGTTAATTGTCCCAATAATTTAAAACAATTGTGACAACTGCTGTCGCAGTGTCCGAACAAAACAATTCAATTTCTCAGTCTGTCTCTCCTTTGATTCAGGAAGTAAATGAAGTTAGTTGAAAATTGAGACTGACCATCATGAAATTTAAGCTTTCAGTTGATCAAATCTCCCAAGTTCCCTATCATCCTGGGCATTTCATGGTTTTCTATCCACAATTCCTCCATCATCTGGGAGACACTAACTCTAAATTTAACGTCCAACCATTGCAAAGAACACTGTAAAAAATCTTATCAAATAAGTTCTCTACCATATCAAGGATTGTGGAAGCTACCCAGTCATACTACAAGGTGCCTCCACAATATCATGAGTTCTAGGACATTTGTGGCCTCATCGCCCACATGACTGTCCCATTGAACTGCTTCCAGGGGCATAAATAGTCTTTGGCGCCTTTATACTCTATCAGAGCCCACATCATCTGTGTGTCTATACCTGTCCTGCTGGTCAGTGGTAGCATCTCTACTGCTATATCTACTGGCCTCTGAGCCTGACTCCAGACCGTGACAAGAAAGGAGACTGAGGTCCAGTCCTCATATACACATAATGAATGAACAGGAAGAGCTCTACACAGTCTACCTGTTCATTCACAAATTGAAGTATAGCAAACACATTTTACTATGCTTCAGGTATGAATGAACACAGTGAGTGATCAGTTGCCAATCACTCAATGTGTTCATCAAGATAAGGAAGGGGCCAGTAAACAAAAGCGGGGGATGACACTGGGGGGCCCGACAAGGGGAGCTTGTACAGGAGGGGCAGCAGGGCAGCATTTACTGGAACTAATCACCTATATCTCCTAGATTTAAGCTCGAAAGAGCAGGGCCCTCAATCCCCTCATGTTTTGCATTGTATTGGTATTGTTCTGTCACATGTTCTGTCCTCCTTTGAATGTACAGCGCTGAGTGAACTATCGGCGCTTTATAAATACTGAATTCCCCTTCTGTGGGCTGAATGGAGGAGGAGAAGCTGGCTTTCAGCTGCTGCACCAGGAAAGTGGGGGGTGGGGGGGGGGGGGTTCCACTAAATGTCACCCCGGCTTCTTTTTCTGGGGGTAGGCAAGGAAGGACGTGATCTACCCGTCAAACGGCCACGATTTGAGGAGTACCTACATGGAAGAAAAATATATTTGATATATATTTTTAAAATATTCTTCCCAAATATATTGACATATATTTGAATTGCTACAAGTCTGGCCATATTCAATATATTTCATATAATTTTTTTTATATGGTAAAAAATATCTGAAGAATATATTTTAAAAAAAATATATTTTTTAAAAAAATTTTTTTAAAATATATTCTTTAGATTTAATTTTAACATATAAAAAAA